ATTTAAGGATAATTATGAAAAATGTTGGATTGAAGTTAAAAAGGATTTAGAAATATGGACAAATTTGAAGTTATCATTGTTAGGCCGAATTGCTGTGATAAAAATGAATGTGTTGCCAAGGATGTTGTTTCTGTTTCAAACATTGCAAATTTAGGATAAGATGGATTGTTTCAAGAAGTGGCAGAAAGATATTTCTAGATTTGTTTGGCAGGGCAAGAAGCCTCGAATAAAATTTAAGATATTAACTGATGCCAAAGAAAGAGGTGGATTTGCCCTGCCAGATCTCAAACTTTACTATGAATCAGCTGCTTTTTGCTGGCTGAGAGAATGGCTGTTGGATCTAGAAGGTTTCAATAATGCATTTGGTTGGCATGCATATTTGTGGTACGATAAGGTAAAAGCACATAAAGCATTTAAAAATCATATTGTTAGGAAAGCATTGTTTAATGTTTGGATAAGATATAAGGATTTGTTAGAAAAGAAAACCCCAAGATGGTTGTCATCAATGGAAGCGAAGGCACAGAAAAAACTCAATATGGAGGCCAAATGGCCGAAATATTGGGAAATTCTGGAACAAGATGGAGACAGATTAAAATTGCAGAGCTTTGAAAAATTGAAAAACAAAGTGCGAGATTGGCTCCATTATTATCAAATAATGGAGGCATACCATCTGGACAAAAAAGCTGGTTTCCAGGTGGAAAAATCAAAATTGGAAACAGAATTGTTAGATCCAAAAATCAAGAATTTGTCAAGAATGTATAACTTGCTATTGAAATGGAACACTCAGGATGAAATGGTGAAATCAGCTATGATTAAATGGGCACAAGATGTTGGACATAACATAATGATGGCTGACTGGGAACAGTTATGGACCACAGGTATGAAATTCACGGCATGTAATGCCCTAAGAGAAAATTTAATGAAAATGAATTATAGGTGGTACATGACACCAGTCAAGCTTGCAAAAATTTACCATTTGCCGGACAATAAATGTTGGAAATGTAATAAGACTGAAGGTACATTCTTTCACCTTTGGCGGACATGCCCAAGGATTAAGACATTCTGGGAGATGATTTATAATGAAATGAAAAAGGTATTCAAATATACCTTCCTGAAGAAACCAGAGGCCTTTCTCCTGGGCATGGTCAGCCAATTGGTGCCAAAGAAGGATAGAACTTTTTTTATGTATGCAACAACAGCAGCAAGAATACTCATCGCGAAGTATTGGAAGACACAAGATTTACCCACCCGGGAAGAATGGCAGATGAAGTTGATGGACTATATGGAACTGGCGGAAATGACTGGCAGAATCCGAGACCAGGGAGAAGAGTTGGTGGAAGAAGACTGGAAGAAGTTTAAAGACTATTTACAGAAATACTGTAAAATTAATGAATGTTAGTAAAATGTTGGAATGAAGTTATATGGCTTTAGTAGAAATGTTATAAGGAATTAAGTATAAATAGATTAATAGAGTATTAAAGGAAAAAATAAGGTTAGAATGTGTTAAGATAATTATAGGATAGAAAACAGAGGAAGATGGAAAGCAATTGCTGAAATAATTAACATGCAAAAAGGAATACAAAAAGGGAGGTGTGAGGAGGTCGTGGAAATAAGTGAATGAAAGATAAGATATTGAAATTGTTTAATGTGTTTTAAACTGTTTTTGTTTTGTTTTGTTAGTTTAATGTGTTAGTGTTATGTAGTGTTTTTGTATTGTATTGTATTGTATTGTATTGTATTGTATTGTATTGTATTGTTTTTGTAGTGTTTAAATTGTTGGAAAAGTAATAAATATTATTTTCAAAAAAAAAAAAAAGACCAAGAGTAAAGCATAAGATATTAATAGATACTGTAGAAAGAGGTGGCTTCGGGTTACCGGATTTGAAGCTATATTACGAAGCCTCATGTCTTCTTTGGTTGAAAGATTGGTGTTTATTAAAAAATTGGGATATTTTAGATCTAGAAGGTCATGACACCCGTTTTGGATGGCATGGCTATCTTAATTATGGGAAAATAAAGGCGCACTGGAGTTTTTCAAATCATACAATAATAAATGCTTTCTATAAGGTGTGGGGAAAATACAAAAGATATTTGGAACAGAAAACCCCAAGATGGAACTCTCCATTAGAAGCAATCGCTGTTAAAAACAACAACAACATCAAAGAGAACTGGATAACGTATAACACAATATTAAGGGAGGAGGAGGAGGGTCAACTAATATTGATAAGTTATGAGAAAATAAAAGATCACTTTTCTAGTTGGCTAGATTACTTCCAGGTGAATGAAATGTTCAGACAGGATAAGCAGATAGGTTTTGAAAAAGAGCCTTCAAGATTTGAAAGAGAATTACTGAATAGTAAAACTAAAATAATCTCAAAAATGTATAGACTTCTTTTAGAATACAAAGTAATGGATGAGGAGGTTAAGGCTTCAATGATAAAGTGGGCCCAAGATGTGGGCCATCCAATTATGCTAAAAGATTGGGAAAACTTATGGAAGGTAAATTTGAAATTTACAGCCAGCTATAATATAAGAGAGAACATGATGAAATTGGCCCATAGGTGGTACCTCACTCCTTCCAGATTATCAAGAATGTATAAAAATTTGGCGAATGCTTGTTGGAGATGTGGAGGAAATAACGGTGACATGATCCACATGTGGTGGACGTGTGAAAAGATTAAGATTTTTGGGGGGGAAATATACAATGAATTAAAAAAGATGATGGGGATAACTTTTACTAAAAAACCGGAGGCATGTCTATTAAGTATTATAGATAAAGAGATCCCCAAAAATCTAAGAGAGGTATTCTTGTATGCAACCGCAGCGGCTCGTATACTTGTGGCCAAGGGATGGAAAGATCACGAGGCTCCAAAAATAACAGACTGGCAAATCAAAATACAGGAATTGGTGGAGATGGCTCAATTGACTAGTAAACTCAGGGGAAACTCAAAGCAAAAATTTGCGGAAAAATGGGATGGTTATAGAAGATATGTTCAAAAATACAATAATAGTTTTGACTCCGTGCTAGCATTCGAGTGTTAAAGGAACTAAAAGGAGGTGGACAACAATTAAGGATTTATTATGTTTTCAGAATGTATTAAAAAAATTATATAGAAAGGTTTATTGTTTTGTGTGCATTCAAATGTAAGATAAAATATATGCAAAGAGACTTGACAGGAAATCAAAGTTGAAGAAAAGATTTTGGAAGATGTAAGGGGAAAAATATTTACTTTCATTATTATCATTTTGTGTGCGGGTGTGGGTGTGTGGGTGTCTGCACATATGTGTGTTGTTGCATGAAATGTTTGGGAGGAAATAAGACGGTAAATAACAAATAACAAACTAAATATTGATGTACGTAATTTTTATTTCTTAATTATATTTAGTGGTAGTATGGCTGTATTTTTTTTGTAACATAAAATCATTCAATAAAAATTATTTTTTAAAAAATACACTGATTGATTGGGTCCCCTGTCAATACCCAAACTTAGTAAAAAAACTAACCCTACACACATTCCTGTTTCAATGTAGTTCTCTCTCCAACCCCCAACTCTGACTTAAGAGACAATACCATCATCTTTTTTGAAGAAAATCAGAATTATGCACAGGCATCACTTAAAACCTTCCTCAGCCTCAATCCTGCTCTCAGATTCCCTCTTCCTCCTCCAAGATCTCCACTGGCCAGGGAGATGCAAGTTCCAAAATCCCTTTTTTTGCTACTCCTCAGGGAAGCTTATGTGGCAATTCAGCAAAATCTCCATATCCAAAGAGACCTGTTTGCTAGTTGAGTACAGATTGCACCCTTGAGCCATTCCTCAAAACACAAATTAATAAATGGAAAGAACGCGAGAGACTGGGAAATACTGTTGGAAGGGACCTTGTGAGATCGCTCAGGAGTCTCCAGAGCCCAGAAAGCAATGGTGGGGGGGGGGGCCTTTGGCAGTGGGGGGGAGATTTTCTAAGTCCACCTTGCTTACCGGCCTCTGGAAAGGTCAAGATCTCTGGCTTTGGACAAGTAAGGATGTTTGCTTGGGGGGCCTTTTTGAGGGGCTTCCTGCCTCATGCAATATTGCCTTTGCATGCTGACCCCAGGAATGTAACCCCCCACATAGAATTTGGGCCTCGATGTAACAAAATCCCCTCTGACAACAAAGAGCCTCTGTCAGAGGTTCTGAGTGACAATCTAGAGGATTGGGGGGGGTGTAAATTCCCATGTATACAATTATTTTCTCCAAGGTGCTTTATAGTGAACAGATAATTATCTGTATTTTTAGAGATCACCTCTTCTTAATATTTTTGTATAACAGGCCTGAAAGTACTTAGCTCATATTTAATGAGCTTACTTGTTTGATTCTATTAAAGATTGTACTTCTTGTGGCTCCTGTGTTGATTTGAACTCAACAGCATAATATCCATTCCATGTGACACTTCCTCCAGGGATTTTAGGAGGGTGATATCCTGTTTTATCCTCAGAGAAACCCTGTGAGGTAGAAGAGGCTGAGCTGAGAGACTTAGAAAAAGGAGACAGGTTAAAACTTTATGGTCACAAGGGATTTGAACCTGGGCCTTGTGATCCAAAGTTCCTACACACTGTTCACTCAGAATTTGAAATCGTAACAAGGGTAATATTCCCTTCAGAGATGTGCTTGCAAGCCCTCCCTGCAAAGTTCCTGTATGTTGTAGCTCCTCTTCAGACCTTCCTGTGTTGACCGTGAATGTCTGCAGGAGGAGTAGATCCAGTTTGAATGAGGGTTTTTCTTTCAATAAAAGTTCTCTTCCACATGGGCAGGTGGTAGATGGGATCAGTGGGGGAAAGCTAGGAGCTGTACAGCAGATTAAAAATCCACTAGCATCCATCCTATGTTATATGACTTCAGAAGCGACCTTTTTCCATCTTTCGCACTACCATTCTTAAAGTTTTAAAAATCCATATGAAAGAGTCTCTGAAGTCCTGCTACCTTCACACCTGCAGGGGGCAGCAGAGACCAGAATGTCACCGGCTTCAATTTCCTGGAAAGGAAAACAACCCCAGTTCTTGAATGGGCAAAAAAGAGAGTGAAATTTAACACACACACCCGCCCAGCCCCATGGCTGCAGCTGGGGGTCCCATCCATGAGGGCCTCTGCGAGGAAGACACTTGCGCCATCTGCCTGGAGTATTCAAGGGATCCAGAGATGATCCCCAATTGTGGGCACAACTTTTGCAGAGCCTGCCTGAGCCAGTTCTGGGGGGAGTTGGAAACTGGGGCCTCGTGTTCTGTCAGCCTCAGACTTTCCGCTTGAAAAATGAGGACGATAAAAGTGACTTAACGTGCAGGGTCCCTGTAAGGATTCTGTGCAGATAATGTGCTTGAAGTGCTTTGATCACCTGAAAGAACAGGTGGTTTCAAGAATTATTACTGAGAACTTGTGGAGCATCCCGAACGCAGGGCATTGAGCGGGAATGAAATTTCTCTCATGGGTGTAAAGAAAAGTTCATCTCTGAGCTCCTGCTGTTTCTGTCCTCTCTCCTCGTTTGCCCCCCAGAAAACGCAACTTTGGATCCAGCCAACTTTGGATCCTGCCTCATCCTGTCTGAGGATCAAGAGAGTGTGGGAGATGGAGATGCGGATCCAGATCTCCCAAACAATCCTGAGAGATTCGACACAAACGTCCCCATGTGCTGGGGAAAGGGGGGATCACAGCGGGCAGACATTTTTGGAAGGTCATTGTAGGGAGTGAGGGGCATTGGGCTGTTGAGGGGGGGCAGGAAGTCTATGAAGAGGAAGGGCACGTTAGCTTCTTGTCCTGAGGATAGGATCTGGGAGGTGGGGAAATGGGAAGGAGAATAGGGCCCTCCTTCCCTCCTGATGACCCTGCTCTGTCCTTGCGCGAGGAGCCCAAGAGGGTCCGAGGGACTCTGAACTCTCACCTGTCCTTTCACGATGCAGATCCAGCAGCCCTTCTCTTGGCAACACGAGAACGGGGCCTTCTCTGCAGTGGCTCCCCATCTGTGGAATGCTCTCCCCAGGGAAGTTCACCCGGCGTGTTCATTAGACACATTTAGGCATCAGGCAAAAACGTTCCTTTTTAATCAGGTGTTCGTTTGACCTGTTTGACATACTATATCCTTTTAAAATGTGGCACTTTTGGGGCGGTGTTATTGGGTTGTTGTTTTATTCTGATCATATATGTTGTGATTTTTTCCTGTGAACCGCCCTGAGACCTCCAGGTATATGGCAGTATATAAATAATAATAATAATAATAATAATAATGAATTAATTAATTTTTTAAAAACGGGGCCAAGCAGGGCCGTCTTTAGCAGATGCGGCGCCAGGGTGCAAAAATTACCACGGATAATGTTGGGGGTGGCAGTCGCTGCACCTGCCAGCCATGGAGAGGGGCGCAGCTCTGCCCAATGCCGTTGCAGGAGAGTGATCCCCGCAGAGGTTTTGGAGGGAAGCTTCACGTCGGGGCGCAGCTGGGGGGCATGCAGGGAAAGGGGAGGCTGCGCAGCCCCCCCACTTGCTGGGGCGCCCCTGAGAGGCCCTGGGGAAGGCGACTCTGGGGCTAGGGGAAACCTGCTGGTAATAGCTGCCCTGTGATGTGATTGGCAAGTACAGTGCTACCTCAGGTTAAGTACTTAATTTGTTCCGGAGGTCCGTTCTTAACCTGAAGCACCACTTTAGCTAATGGGGCCTCCTGCTGCCGCCGTGCCACCAGAGCCCGATTTCTGTTCTCACCCTGAAGCAGAGTTCTTAACCTGAAGCACTATTTCCGGGTTAGTGGAGTCTGTAACCTGAAGCGTATGTAACCTGAAGCGTATGTAACCCGAGGTACCACTGTAACTGGATACTATTTAGCTGAGATATGTTTGCAAAGGCGGTTTGCAGAGTTGGTTCCAGAGGTTATTATTGCACATTATCAGACGCTGGCGATTTTGTCAAAACAACTCACTACAAATTGGCACCGGGATGGAGGGCGGGGCTGTTTCTCGTCTGTATGTGGGGGCTGCTAACTCGAAAGAGGAGTGTGAATGGAGCAAGGAGTGGGGGGCGGGGCGGCAGTTCATTCATTAGCCTGCAAAGTAGTCTGAGGCTGACATGCTGATAGGAAACAACAACAACGACAAACTCCCCCAGCTCCCACAGGGAAATGATAGCTTAAACTCCAAGGCAACAGAGATCCTGAGTAATCACATTTGAATTTCCTGGAAAGGAAACACGCCCATTACAGACGCAAAAGAGAGAAAACGAAACCATCTCTCTCCCTCCCTCCCTTCCCGGTGACTCCGCCATGGCTGCTTCTGGTGGTCCCGTCCGGGATCTCTGCGACGAAGCCACTTGCTCCATCTGCCTGGAGTGTTTCAGGGATCCAGTGATCATTCCGGAGTGCGGGCACAACTTCTGCCGATCCTGCCTGATCCAGTGCTGGGAGAAATCCGAGGGAGAGGCTTCCTGCCCTCTGTGCAGGGAAAGGGTGGAGCAAAGCAGCATCAGGAGAAACCAGCAGCTGGCAAATTTTGTAGAAATAATTAAGAATTTCTACCATCCTCAGGGAGAAGAGAAGGAAAAGGAAGGGTCTGTGAGAAAGGACCAGGAGTCGCCAGCAAGAGCTTTTGTGCAGAGTGATACATCGAGAGTTTTGGTACGTGCTTTGCGAATACTAGCCGAGAAACTCCGTCTTCAAGAAGAAAAGCAGGAAAAAGGAAAGAGGAGAGTCTGCGAGAAGCACCAGGAGCCCCTGAAGCTCTTCTGCCAGGAGGACCAAAGCCCCATCTGTGTGGTGTGTCATGTATCTAAGGAGCACAAAAGCCACGAGGTGGTTCCTCTAGAGGAGGCGTCCCAGGAGTACAAGGTAGGAAAAGGTAGCGCTTCTTTCTTGGGGAGTGGAATAGCTGCAGACAGGAGGGGCTTGCAAAATAAAAAATAAATATAAAATGTTGTAATGTATTCTTTCCTCTTGCAGCCCAAAAGGAATCCTCCAGCAAGAGATCTTGTGCAGCCTGATAAGACTAAACTTCTGAAACTTTATACAATAAACATTTATTTTCCTTTTTGAGGGATTAAAGTCTGCCCAGTGACTCCCTGAATGCAGGCTGCAGTAACTCCCCTGGGACGAAAGACTACAACATCTAGGATTAATTTAATAAAAAGGAGGGGGAGATGTTGGAGGTGTGTTGAGTTTGGGGGACAAATAGCAAACCCCCCATGTTTCTCAGCTCTGATATAGGGCAGCCCCATTTCTTCCTCATCTGATATGAAAAAGGGGAACCTCTGCAAAAGACCCAGAGATGTGGGGCAGGGAGCAAACATAGGATTCAGCTTCCCTGTTAATGTGTAATGCAACCCAACTTGAATTTTGATTTCTTTTCAGGATCAGATCAGCAGCTGCCTAGACAATGTGAGGAAGGAGAGAGAGAAAATTCTACTATTTAAAGCAGACACAGAAAAGGAAAGCCAAGACCTGCTTGTAAGCACTATTGTTACTACTTTAAGATGAAAAAGTGCTATAGTCTAGAATCAATATCTGGAGGGGGGGACTGAATATGAAATACAGAAAGAGGTTTATTTTTGAATGGCCTGATTTCCACAGAGTATGAAAGACCATTTAAAGGAGGGGTTGGGCTGTAAGTGTTTATGACGCTCTTTCTCTGCTGAATATGTCAGAAGTGGCCTTCCAAGGGAATGCGGAAGACTGGCCTCTTCATCCTCCAAGAGCAGACTAGATGCCTGATATTGGCCCACTCTTCTCTTCTTTCAACCTCTTTGCTGCAGAAACAAACAGATGCAGAGAGGGAAAAGATGGTGGCTGAGTTCAGGCGACTGCACCAGTTTCTGGAAGAACAGGAGAAACGTATTCTGGCCCAGATGGCAGAAGTGGAGAAGGAGATTGCAGCCAAAAGGGAGGAGCAGCTGGCCAGACTCTCCAGGGAACTCTCCTCTCTTGAAGGCCTCATCCGGGAGATGGAGGAGAAGCTTCAGGAACCAGCGAGTGAACTCCTGCAGGTGAGGCCTCATCCTGATGCGAGAGGGTGGAGTGTGATGCTTCAGACTACAGGCATTTCTTAGTCACATAAAAATGTTGCTGGAAGGAAAACAGTTCATGAAGGTTGAAAGGCGTCAGTCCTGGGGTCGCAAAAGGGGCCCTGATAGATCAAACCGCAGGCCCCTTCATTCTAGCATTGTGTTCTCTCATTGGCCAACCAGAGGTCTCTGGGAAGCCTAAAAAAGAATAGTGCTCTCCAAACCTGTGATTCCCAGAAGCTGGTACTCAGCTGCGTAGCATTTATAAGTGACTGCAGAAATGGCTCCACTGACATCTTTCTTTCTTTCCCTTCCAGGATATCAGAAGCTTCTTGCAGAGGTAAGTGACGGAAAACCCCTGCCTTATTATGTTGCTACAAAAGTTCCTGTTTAACAGGTGGGAAACTCACCCTTCCAGTTCCTCTTTCCAGAGATAATTTAGGATTCCACCATCCATTTAACAAGATCACAAACAAAAACAGGGACACATTTTCCTAGCTATTAGTCTCATCTACAATCATAGAAAGGAAACCATTGTCCTTTACATATTTCTTCCTTTTCCATGATGGATTCATTTACTCTGCAATTGATACAAAAAGGGGGGACATTCAAAAGGAGCTTGTAAATATCTTCACTATAACTTACCCTTAAATATCCAGCGTATTTCTGGCTTCTGTAGGTTCTTCTTCAGACATAAGACTGTGAGAAAGGGCCCTGCTGGATCCAGCCAGCAGCCCATCAAGTCCAGCATCCTGTTTTCACAGTGAATAACCAGATACCAGTAGGAAACCCGCGAGCAGGATCCGAGCCCCAGAGGACACTCCCCTTCTGTGGTTTCAGAGGCACCACTGCCTTTGGCCCAGCCATCATGAATAGTAGCCTCGGAGAGCCTTGTTCCCCAAACAACTTCAATTTTTTAAATCTCCCATGTTTAGAAAAGACAGCTTTAATTTCTGATATTTCCTTCTACTTAAATGTAAGCACTGGGCTACAAAATATTAATAAGTTTAATCATTTGAAATGCTTCACTAAAACTGATGTAGTTCTAAATCTCTAAGGACCTTGTATTGTTAATTTTTCCTCTAAATATTAATTTGCTTACATCAGCTTCTTTACCTTCAATCTAATCTTCATATATTTCCTTCCATATATTATGGAAGCAGGTGTGTGTAGCAGTTTTTCTTCACCTTCTTAGATGCTCTGTAGATCCACACATTATCTAGATGCTCCCTTTTGCCATAGGAAGAACCCTGCTCCCAAGTCTTCATGATATATCCATCTTGCCTTTATCATTAAGATGAGGTACCTGCCTTGTCAGAAAGCTCCTTGCACTGGAAGGATGGTGACTTGACTTTGTTCTTCTCCTCCCAGGTCTCAGGAGAAGGAGAAATTAGAGGATCCTCCTGTGGCTTTTCCTCCTGCCCTGAAGTGGAGGATCTGGGACTTCTGTGATATTAATCCCTTCCTGGAGGGAGTCATGGAAAAATTCAGAGGTAGCAAAGAAGGGCTGAAAGTATTTTATACTGGATATTTAAAACTGCACATCAAATGCTCCAGGTCATTAGCAGTGCCAGGAAAATGGAACTCTTATTTATTCTCTTTCAATATCTAGAAGCCACACTTTCCTATGCACTTTCCTAGCCTCACCTACAGCTTTTCAGGCATCTCCTCTGTTCCTTTGCCCCTGAGATTAATGTAAGGGGGGGGCAGGAGGAGGGAAGGAGGGGGGCTGTCCCAGAACCAGCCAGGAGCAGAGGGGACTGGGGTTGAGGCCTCCTGTCCTGGAACAGGCATGTCTGGATGTTCTTGTTGAGGTGGAGATCTGGGGATCCTGCTCCTCCTCCCAAGATTTGGGCAGGCCTGAACCTTGACATGACCTTACACAGGATAGCCAATAGGATGAGTTTCAGATAGTTTTAACTGCAACTCCCATAATCTCCAGCTGGCATGGCCAGTGGTTAGGGATGATGGAACTTGTAGTCCACAACACCTGGCTACAATCTCATGAGCTCATATTGTTCATTCCAGATTTGTGATCTAAATGATAGTGTGAAGCTAAATCTCTGTTCCCTTTCCTCTTCCAGACACTGTGGAATATGGACTTCAGCTTCAAAAAGGTACATTTAATAATAATAATAATACCGTATTTTTCGCCCCATAGGGCGCACCACCCCATAGGACGCACCTAGTTTTTTTGGGGGGGGGGAAATAAAGAAAAAAATTATTTCCCCCCCAGGCGCGGGGCTGGCGCGGGGGAAGCCCGAGCTTCCCCCAATCCCAGCCCCAAGAACAGCCTGCTATCCGCAAGCCTAGGGATGCCAGCGGTAAGTCGCGCCGGTCTCCCCAGGCATCGGAATGCAGGCAGCTCTGCGCAGCCATCGGGAGGCGGGGCGCGAAGTGGCGTCGGTCTCCCGAAGGTTGCGCAGAGCTTCCTGAAGCCTGGAGAGCGAGAGGGGTCGGTGCGCACTGACCCCTCTCTCTCTCCAGGCTTCAGCAAAAGCCTGCATTCGCCCCATAGGACGCACACACATTTCCCCTTCATTTTTGGAGGGGAAAAAGTGCGTCCTATAGGGCGAAAAATACGGTAATAATTTATTTATACCGTTCTGTTTCCTCAGCCATTTCAAGATCAAACAGAGCCAGAACTTCTAGAGAGGGGCATCTGCTTCTCAACAGACCAGGCCACTGCAGCTCTTCCATCCATGCCTTATTTCCCAGAGGCATCTGTTCCGTGAGAGCAGCGTGCTGGGCTAGATGGGATCTTGGCCTGATCCTGCAGACTCTTAGGAAGCCCTCAGCCCAGGATGCCTGGCTTTTCTGTGCTGAATCTCCATAAGATACAGGGGTGGTGTGAAGCCAAAGGCTCCCGGCACATGAGGGGGAAATATCCCTTTGAGCCATACAAGATCCCAATCCCTTTTAGGAGAGCTTATGTAAGAGTAAGGTGTAAGAGTGGGAAATGCATGAACACAAATAGCTCAGAAAATGGCTGCCACTACTTTTGGGGGCTAGAAGGTGAATGGGTTTTGGTGTCAGTGGAGATAGGTGGGGGCTGCCTGAGTGTGAACTCCAGGGGTCCGGCTTCCCTGCAAGATGGGGGTCTTCCCTCAGTTTTTGTGTTGGAGGGGAGACATGACTCTGCTTAAACATGATGGCGGACTAGAGAAACCTGTGTAACTTAAAAGAGCAGGGCAGAATTGCACCACAGACCAGGGGAAAAGGCTCAATGGGAAGACAAAAGTGTAGTCTGGCCTGATCCTGGACACCACAAAAAGGGAATCATAAGAGCTGGAAAAGTCCAGTCTGGCCTGATCCTGGACACCACAAAAAGGGAATCATAAGAGCTGGAAAAGGGGCAGAGCAGGTGGCAGCATAAAGATAAACTTACTTATCTTTAAAATTATATTCTGTGATTCTTTCAAACAACAGCAGTGAGTAAAATGCATAACGGCCAATCAATACAACAATAAACTAGAAAAACCAATTACATTTAACAAAAAAATGCACTGGCAACATCCAGTATCACATTTAATTTCCAAAGGCTGATGTATAAATGTGTGTCTTTAAAAAGAAATTGCTTGACAAACTTTCCATAACATGGCAGGAGCGGGGCGGGGGTGGGGGGAGGACTGCAGAGCAGATCTTCTTCCTTATGTCCACCAGCCTGACTAATTTTTAAATGGGTTTCTCATGATGCTTCCACTGCCCCCCCCCCCCTTTCCCATAAATGTGAGGAACAGTGAAGAAAAAGACGAGTCATATAGCCAATCAGGTCTGGGGAGCCAGGGTGGGGTCTTTGCGTTGAAGGTGACAGGTGGGAATGGTGCTTCCTAGGTTTTACTGGGTTTGGCTATAATAAAGTTATATATATCTTTTTAAAAATAAAAAATTAAACATTTCTCGCCCTTTATCTTGGGCTTGCAACAATAAACGCATTAACACAATTCATAGGAAAAGAAAGCCTTTCATATCAACGAAGTTTGTTCTTGCTTGACAGCTCATGTCAAGAATCCGGAGCAGGACATTTTAGACAGGGAATATGAATCAGAGAATGCAAATACCTTTTTATGTTGTTCTTTTTATAAACAACCTGGAAGGATGGGCTATAACATTACATTAAATATGTAACTGAAAATTGAATGGTGGTTACAAGGAGGGTGAGAGCACCTGCTGCCAGTTTTGCCTGGCCTGTCAAGCATGGTCTGTGATGTGAGGTAAAATATTTAGATGTGAATTAGAGAGTCCCTGCTTGGACTCCCTTCTGCCATGAATGGTGGGGGTGGGGGTGGCCTTAGAGAAGCCACTGTCTCTCAGCCTTAGTCCTCCCATCTGAAAAATGGGCATACACTGTTACCTCTGGTTGCGAACGGGATCTGTTCCGGAGGCCCGTTTGCAACATGAAAAGAGCGCAACCCGTAGCGGCGCGTCTGCGCATGCACGGGTCGTGATTCACCGCTTCTGCACATGCACGTGATGTCATTTTGAGCTTCTGTGCATGCACGAGCGGTGAAAGCCGGAAGTAACCCTTTCCAGTACTTCCGGGTCGCCGCGGGACATAACCTGAAAGAGCGTAACATGAAGTGGACGTAACCAGAGGTACCACTGTACCTGGATTGACTTAACTTACAGGGACGTTGCAAGGGTTCTATGTGGGTAATGTGTGTTAAGTACTTTGAACCCTTGAAAGCACTGCAGATGTTTCAGGAATCATTAAGAACTTGATGAACATCCCTGTCTCAAATGTAGAGTCATGGAGTCCCTGTTCATTTCGTGGGGGGTGCTATTTCTGTCATGTGGCTAAAGAAAAGTCAGCTTCTCAGTTGACTCTCTTCTCTTTCCTCCTCTGCCCTCACAGAAAACATAACTTTGGATCCAGACACAGCACATCCCCGCCTCATCCTGTCTGAGGATCGAAAGATTGTGAGAGATGGAGAAGTGCGTCAAGACCTGCCAGACAACCCTGAGAGATTTGACACACATTTCTATGTGCTGGGATGTGAGGGTTTCACAGCAGGCAGACATTTCTGGGAGGTCATTGTGGGAAGAGAGGAGAGATGGGAGGTGGGGGTTGCCAGAAAGTCTGTGAAGAGGAAGGGTTTTCTCTCTTTTGGTCCTAGGGAAGGGATCTGGGGTTTGGGGAAGTGGCTTGGTGGGTACAAGGTATGCTCACCCCATGAGGACCCTGTTCCAAGTGAGGAGCCCAAGAGGATCCGAGTGACCCTGAACTGTGAAGGGGGACGGGTGTCCTTTTACAATGCGGATACAGCAGCCCTCCTCTACATATTCCCAGCAGCCCCCTTCTCAGGAGAGACCCTCCAGCCCTTGTTTTATGTGAGTGAGAAAGCAAACCTGAGACTCTCTTGACTGAGAGTGCAGACAGACAAGCGTATATTCATTGCCATCATGACATATTCAGTCGCCTCTTCTGGTTGGAGCTGACAGGAACAAGGAGAAACCGTATTTGCAGAACTGTGATTGGCTATCCCTTGTGTCAATCATGATGCAACTCTCCTTTCTCAGGCCAGCTTTGTAACTTATACTGATTGATTGGGTCCCCTGTCAGTCCCCAAACTTGCCTGTACTCTCTCACTTGGGAATGGGCTATTTCTCTCAGTGCAAAGTGGGAAAGAGGCAAGAAAATAATTTAGGAAACAACAGCAACCCCAAACACATTCCTGTTTCGAAGTAGTTCTCTCTCCAACCCCCAAGTCTGATTTAAGATTTCTAGAGACAATACCATAATCTTTTCTGAGTAAAATCAGAGTTCTGCACGTGCATCACTTAAAACCTCAGATTCCCTTTCCTTCCCCCGAAGCCTCCATTATCATTCCAAAATTCCTTTTTTTGCTGCTACTCAGGGAAGCTTATATGGCAATTCAGCAAAATCAGAGACCAGTTTTTTTAGTTGAGTACAGTCGGCCCAAAACTCACACACAACTTACTTGTGTGATCGCAGCCTGGAGCCCTTTGTCAAAACACAAATTAATAAATAGAAAGAGGGTGTGAGACTAGGAAATATTGTTGGAAGGGACTGTGAGAGATCTCACAAGAGCCTCCAGAGCCCAGAAAGCAATGGGTGTTGGCGGCGGGGGCTTTGGCAGTGGTGGAAAGAGTTTCTAAGTCCACCTTGTTTTCCAGCCAGAAAGGTTACATAAAACTCTCAAGATTTGTGGCTTCGAACAAGTAGGGATGGTTGCTTGGGGGGCATTTTCTGGGGTCTTCCTGACTTATGCAATATCGCCTTTGCATGCTGACCCCAGAAACATAACCCCCCATGCAGGTTTTGGGCCTTGATGTGACAAAATCCCCTCTGACGGTGAAGAGCCTCTGTCAGAAGTTCTGAGGAGAGGACAGTGACAATCTAGAGGATTTCAGGAGCAGGTGGTAAATTCCCATGTATACAATTATTTTCTCCAAGCTGCTTTGTAGTGAACAGTCCGATACTTACCTGTATTTTTATACATCCCCTCTTCTTATATTTTTGTATAACGGGCCTGAAAGAATTTGGGGATATGTTTCCTGTGCTAACATGTTTGATTCTATTAAAAATTGTACTTCTTGTTACTCCTATTTTGTTTCAAACTCAACAGTTTAATATCCATTCCCCATGACACTTCCTCCAGGGATTTTAGGAGGGTGATCTCCTGTTTTATCCTCAGAGGATCCCTGTGAGGTAGAAGAGGCTGAGCTGAGAGAATTAGAAAAAGGAGACAGGTTAACGTTTATGGTCAAAAGGGATTTGAACCTGGGCCTTGTCATCCCAAGTCCAACACACTGTGCACTCAGAATGTGAAATCTTAACAAGGGTCCCTTCAGAGATGTGCTTGAAAGCCCTCCCTGCAAAGCTCCTCTCTATGTTGTAGCTCCTCTTCAGACCTTCCTGTGTCGACCCTGAATGTCTGCAGGAGGAGTCAATCCAGTTTGAGTGAGTGGCTGATTTCAGGGGCTTCCCTGCATAAGCTCATATTTTGCACCTGGGTCCATTTCTGGATCTCGGCATTCCGATTAAAAATTGAAGCAAATTCCCCAAGTCTGAAGTCTGCCCATACCTTGCTTGAGGGAATCCCACCACCAGGAGAGAAGTGTGTCTCAGCCATATCTGCCAGGTCAGTGAGAGAGCAGGTATCCTATTGACACCCTACTTTTTAAACATACAGTCAGTTGTGGGCAAATGGAAGGGGGGAAACTAAAAGAATGCCAATTGCAATAGTTCACCCACCCCCCTTTCAACATAAGCATTGCAACCAGTGCCGAACGGATGTGGTGTACAAATAGGGAGAGGCGTTTTAATTCAACATTTTTATCATAGTCACCCAAACGGCAATTCTCAAATTGGAAGAAACCAAAGCAGCACAAATTTCGTTTTCTTATACAGTGGTACCTTGGGTTACATACGCTTCAGGATACATACGCTTCAGGTTACAGACTCCGCTAACCCAGAAATAGTACCTCGGGTTAAGAACTTTGCTTCAGGATGAGAACAGAAATCGTGCTCCGGCAGCAGCAGGAGGCCCCATTAGTTTCAGGTTAAGAAGACCTCCAGAATGAATTACGGTAAGTTCTTAACCTGAGGTACCACTGTATTGTTGTTTACATTATTTCTTTAGGTATGACCTAATTGGTTCCCAATCTTTCTTAAACTCTCTATTGTCTTTGTCTCGAAGTCTTTCAGTTAGTTTTGCCATTTTAGCGTATTCCATCAGTTTTCCTTGCCATTCTTCTTTAGTTTGTACTTTATTGTTTTTCCATCTTTGGGCTAGCAACATCCCAGCCGCAGTTGTGGCATACATACAAACTTTCTGCTTCTCTTTTGGCAAATCTTGACCTAAGATTCTTAACAAGAAAGCTTCTGGTCTTTTGCTAAAAGTTATCTTAAACATTCTTTTCATTTCATTGTATATAATTTCCCAATAATTTTTAATTATTTTACAATTCCATCACATATGAAAAAATGTGTCTTCTTTTTTTTTACACTTCCAACATTTGTTGGAGCTAAAGCAGCACATCTTTCTTATCTCTTCTGAGCTCTCTGGAGCAAAGAGGAAATTAAGCCTTCAGCCCTGTGCCCACTTCCCATGGATATGCCCCTTACTCTGAGTAGATATAGGAGTACCCTTTATTTTCTGGATACAGACCAAAAGGATTAGCTCACAGGTTTTGGTGATTGCCTAGAGAAAGGACTTCTTCACACAGCACATCATATGACTTTGGCCACTGGCTTACACACCCTTTTAAAGTTGGCAAGACGAAAGGTTTGAGACCAAAAGCCCGTTCCTGTTGTTCACCTCCACATCTTCAGCTTATTCAGAGGTAGACTGCCTCTGCGCCAGGAGGTTTCATTGAGCAGGATGCTAAATTCCTGTTGAAATTATTCTTTTCCAGCACCTTTTCCCCTCTGCAGAGTTGAGAGACACCCATGAGAATAGTCCACCCTCAGATGTTGATGGATCCAACTGGCTCTGGAGGATTTTCTGGCTGATATGACTGGCTGATATGACTGGCACTGAATATTTATTCTGTATTTGAGGCCTTAAAATTCACTGTCAAAGGGTTAATTGAAAGCACCTGCTGTTAATAGGTGCCCAGTGGTGTGACTGGGAAATATCTGGATACCATTTAGCTGATCTATGTTTGCAAAGGCCGTTTGCAGACTTCGTTTCAGAGGTGGTTATTGCACATTATCAGACGCCAACGATTCTGTCAGAACGACTCACTAAAAACTGGCACCGGGATGGAGGGATGGGCTGTTTCTCCTCTGTATGTGGGGGCTGCTAACTAGAAAGAAGATGTCAATGGAGCAAGGCGGGGGCGGGGGATTCATTCATCAGCTTGCAAAGTAGTCTGAGGCTGACATGCTGATAGTTAAACGACAACAACAATAAACTCCACCAGCTCTCGCAGGGAAATGGTTCCTTAAAAGAGCAGCCACCAAGAATGAGCATTCCATTTAAAATAAAACATTTAAAATAAAATATATAAAACTATATATTTCCACCATATCAAAGCGGCTCGGAGCTCCACCCAACTCCAAGGCAGCAGAGATCCTGAGTGATCGTAGCTGAATTTCCTGGAAAGGAAACACGCCCATTTGCAGACGCAAAAGAGAGAAAACGAAACCAGCTCCCTCTTCCTGTCGAGGCAGCAGCCATGGCTGCTTCTGAGGGTCCCGTGCAGGATCTCTGCGAGGAAGCCACCTGCCCCATCTGCCTGGAGTATTTCAGGGATCCAGTGATCATTCATGAATGCGGGCACAACTTCTGCCGATCCTGCCTGATCCAGGGCTGGGAGAAATCCGAGGGAGAGGCTTCCTGCCCTCAGTGCAGGGAAAGGGTGGAGCAAAGCAGCATCAGGAGAAACCAGCAGCTGGCAAATGTTGTGGAAATAGCCAAGAAATTCAGTCATCTGGGCGGAAAAAAGGAGGCCGAAGGAAAAAGAAGCGTCTGCGAGAAGCACCAGGAGCCCCTGAAGCTCTTCTGCCAGGAGGACCAAAGCCCCGTCTGTGTGGTGTGTCATGTATCCAAGGAGCACAAAAGCCACGAGGTGATTCCTCTGGAGGAGGCGTCCCAGGAGTACAAGGTAGGAAAAGGCAGTGGGTCTTTCTTGGGGGTGGAAGAGCTGCAGACAAAAGGGGCTATTAATAATAATGATAATAATAATAATAATAATTGTAATGTATTCTCTCCACTTGCAGCCCAAAAGGAATTCTTGTGCAGCCTGATGAAACTAAACTTCTGAAACTTTATACAATAAACATTTATTTTCCTTTTTGAGGGTTTAAAGTGCACCGCCTGAATGCAGGCTGCAGTAACTCCCCTGGGAGGAAAGATTACAACATCTAGGATTAATTTAATAAAAAGGAGGGGGGAGATGTGGGAGGTGTTCTCAGTGTGGGGGACAAATAGCAAACCCCCCATGTTTCTCAGCTCTGATATAGGGCAGCCCCATTTCTGCCTCCTCTGGGATGAAAAGGGGAACCTCTGCAAAAGACCCAGGGATGTGGAGCAGGGAGCAAACATAGGATTCAGCTTGCCTGTTAATGTATAATGCAGCCCAATTTGAATTTTGTTTTCTTTTCAGGATCAGATCAGCAGCTGCCTAGACAATGTGAGGAAGGAGAGAGAGAAAATTCTAGTATTTAAAGCAAACACAGAAAAGGAAAGCCAAGACCTGCTCGTAAGCGCCATTGTTACTACTTTAAGATGAAAAATGCTGTACAGTGGTTACCAGTACATATGCTTCAGGTTACATACGCTACATACATAGCCGTTACATCCGCTAACCCAGAAATAGTACCTTGGGTTAAGAACTTTGCTTCAGGATGAGAACAGAAATTGTGTTCTGGCGGTGCGGTGGCAGCAGGAGGCCCCATTAGATAAAGTGGTGATTCAGGTTAAGAACAGTTTCAGGTTAAGAACCGACCTCCGGAACGAATGAAGTACTTTTCCTTTTTCTGTTTTTTATGGTGCAGAAACAAACAGGTGCAGAGAGGGAAAAGATGGTGGCTGAGTTCAGGCGACTGCACCAGTTTCTGGAAGAAGAGGAGAAACGTATTCTGGCCCAGATGGCAGAGGTGGAGAAGGAGATTGCAGCCCAAAGGGAGGAGCAGCTGGCCAGACTCTCCAGGGAACTCTCCTCTCTTGACAGCCTCATCCGGGAGATGGAGGAGAAGCTTCAGGAACCAGCGAGTGAACTCCTGCAGGTGAGGCCTCATCCTGATGCGAGAGGGTGGAGTGTGCTGCTTCAGACTACAGTGGTACCTCGGGTTACAGACGCTTCAGGTTACAGACTCCACTAACCCAGAAATAGTACCTTAGGTTAAGAACTTTGCTTCAGGCTGAGAACAGAAATGGTGCGGCGGCAGCGGGAGGCCCCATTAGCTAAAGTGGTGCTTCAGGTTAAGAACAGTTTCAGGTTAAGAACGGACCTCCAGAACGAATTAAGTACGTAACCTGAGGTACCCCTGTACAAGCATTTCTTAGTCCTTCCCCACATAAAAATACTGTTGTCAGAGAAACAAGCAGTACATGAATGCTAAAAGGCGTCAGACCTGGCACAGGAGCCAACTCTGAGGGGCTGAGGTCCCTTGACACCCCAATGAAATATTTGAGAGGACCAGCCCCCCCCCCAATAATGGACATTTGTTTTGAAATGGGGTGTGTGTACTGCATCTTGTGATTGATTATGTGGGGCGGAGCTTACCTGCCCACCCCCCAATATTTTTACTACATCAAACCACAGGCCCTTTCTCTCCTGCTTCCTGTTCTTGCATTGGCCAACCAGAGGTCTCTGGGAAGCCCACAAGCCAATAGAACTCTGTATTCAATTAACCTTTACTCAGAGTAGACTATCTTAGGTTCATTAATTTCAGTGTGTCTGAGTAAACGGTAGTTGAAAACAACCGATACTGCCTCCAGCACAGGCATTCCAAATTGGCACTGCATCACATTTTCATTCAGATGCTGTCTTGGGTCCTGCCAGAGAGGGGGTGACCTATTATTATTATTATTATTATTATTATTATCATTATTATTAAAATAAGTTTGTGTACCATCCTGTACCCACAGGTCTCAGGGTGGTTCCCAGGATATGATTGAGTGCGGGATGTACATAGCAGTGAACCGATTAGTTGCATGTGAACACGGAACCAGCATGCGCTGCAGGGCAAAATGGCAAATCAGGGAGGTGGGATTGAATCTCTCAGGTGTTTGGGTGACTTGGTCAAAAGAGAAGAAAAGGACCTTTTATTAGTCATCACTGGAATGGCTGACTTTTGCCACCTGATGGTTATTCCAAAATTACGTGGCACTGCATATTTTATTGAGGGTCTTTTGTCCTCGGCTAACATCTCTCTAGGGATGCGGATGGCGCTGTGGGTTAAACCACAGAGCCTAGGACTTGCCGATCAGAAGGTTGGCGGTTCGAATCCCCGCAACGGGGTGAGCTCCCGTTGCTCGGTCCCTGCTCCTGCCAACCTAGCAGTTCGAAAGCACAAAGTGCAAGTAGATAAATAGGGAAGGTAAACGGCGTTTCCGTGCGCTGCTCTCGTTCGCCAGAAGTGGCTTAGTCATGCTGGCCACATGACCCGGAAGCTGTACACCGGCTCCCTCGGCCAATAAAGCGAGATGAGCGCCACAACCCCAGAGTCGGCCACGACTGGACCTAATGGTCAGGGGTCCCTTTACCTTTTTAACATCTCTCTGCTTCAACTGCTTAGCATTTATAACTGACCGCAGGGCTCTCTGCAGATATGGCTCCACGGATATCTTTTTCTTTCCTTCCTTCCAGGATATCAGAAGCTTCTTGCAGAGGTAAGTGATGGAAATCTACTGCTTTAAGAAAACCCCTGCCTTATTATGATGCTAGGAACATTCTTGTTTAACAGGTGAGAAACTCACTCTCCAGTTCCTCCTTTCAGAGATAGCTTAGGACTCCACCGTACATTTCAAAAAATCACAGACAAAAGTAGAGACCCATTTTTGTGGTAGTTTGTAGCTACAAACACAGACAGGAAGCCGTTCCCATTGCATATTTCTGAAGGCCCTTCTCTGTGATGGATTCATTTACTCTTAAATTGACAGAAAAAGGGGGGACATTCCAAAGGTGCTTGTAAATATCTTTACTTTTACCTTTACAATACGTTTATAATGCTAATTGCAAAAGCCATTCTAAAGCATTCTGCACTTACTTATATTTCAGAAATGCACATACCAGATCTATTTTGTTTTGCCATTAATCACTTGAAATGCTTCACTAAAACTGATGTAGTCCTAAAATCTCTGCGTAAGGACCCATTATTGTTCACTTTTCTTCAAAAAATAATAATTTGCATACATCAGCTTCTTTACCTTCAATCTCATATTCATATATTTCCTTCAGTATATTTTGGAAGCAGGTGTCTTTCAATTTTCCTTCAACTTCTTAGATACTTTCTAGATCCACACGTCAGCTCAATGCTCCTTTTTGCCATAGGAACACCCTGCTCCCAAGTCTTCATGATATACCGTATTTTTTGCCCTATAGGACGCACTTTTTCCCCTCCAAAAATGAAGGGGAAATCTGTGTGCGTCCTATGGGGCGAATACAGGCTTTCGCTGAAGCTTGGAGAGCGAGAGGGGTTGGTGCGCTTCTCCCCAGCGCCAGCCCCACAAGCTCAAGGGACAGCGGGGAGGCGCAGCGCTGCCACACCGCTGTTCCCCGACCTGGTTTTGGGGGGGAAATAAAGGAAAAAAAATTCCCCTTTATTTCCCCCCCAAAAAACTAGGTGCGTCCTATGGGACGAAAAATACGGTATCCATCATGCCTTTATCATCAGGATGAGGCACCTGCCTTGTCAGAAAGCTCCTTGCATTGGAAGAATGGAGGCTTGACTTTGTTCTTCTCCTCCCAGGTCTCAGGAGAAGGAGAACTTAGAGGATCCTCCTGTGGCTTTTCCTCCTGCCCTGAAGTGGAAGATCTGGGACTTCGGAGAGATAAATCCCTTCCTGGAGGGAGTCATGGAAAAATTCAGAGGTAATAAAGAAGGGCTGAAAGGATTGTTAGCTGGATGTTTAGAAGTGTTCACAACAAGCTCCAGGTCATAGGGAATATTAGCCAAGCCAGGAAAATGGAAGTTTTATTTATTTATTCTCTTCCAACATCTAGAAGCCGCACTTTTATATGTAGATGACTGATTTTACTTAAGCAATTGAAAGGGGATGGTCAACCCTTCTTGCTGGGCTCTGGAAGCTCTTGCGAGATCCTTGGGGAGCCTCCCACATTCCAGTCAGCAAGGTAAAGGGCTTGAAAGTTCTTGCCACGAAGGGTGTTGGCCACCACGCAAATCACATTTACACCATCCTCCTTGCTTACTGGGCTCTGAGAGGCTCCTGCGAAATCTCATGGGGCCGTCTGGAGATCTCAGATGGCAGGGGTGATTTTCTGGGGTTTTTCTGACTTCCCACAATTTGCCTTTATGCACAACCCCCAGGAATGTAACCCTCCCTTAAGTTGCGAGTTGTCTGTAAAAAGTTGTCCTTGACCTCTGCACATCTCTCAGCCAGGCTTTGGGTGCTTTCACGTATCTCACCCATTTCTCAAGTACCCTCACCTACAGATTTTCAGGCATCTCTCCTGTTCCTTTGGCCCTGAGATTGATGTAAGGGGGGCAGAAGGAGGGGGGCTGTCCAGGAGCCAGCCAGGAGCAGAGGGGTTGAGGCCTCCCGTCCTGCAACAGGGGTGTCTGGATCTTGTTGCTGATGGGGGGATCTTCTGGGGGTCCTGCTCCTCCTCCCAAGATTTGGGCAGGCCTGAACCTCGACATGACCTTATGCAGGATAGCCAGTAGGATGAGTTTCAGAGAGTTTTAACTGCAACTCCCTGTGGCCTGTGGTTAGGGATGATGGGACTTGTAGTCCACGACACCTGGCTACAATCTCATGAGCTCATATTCTTGTTGCCAGGTTTGTTGTCTGAATGATAGTGTGATGCTAAATTCTGTTCCTCTTTCTCTTCCAGACACTGTGGAATATGGACTTCAGCTGCAAAAAGGTACAAATAATAATAATAATAATAATAATAATAATAATAATATTTATACCCTGCCCATCTGGCTGGGTTTTCCCAGCCATTTTCCCAGGCACAAATTCGGGAGAGATGGGATCCACTTCTCAAAAGATCAGGCCACTGCAGCTCTTCCGTCCATGCCTTCTTTCCCCTTCTTTCCCAGAGGCATCCAGTGCCGGGACTCCTGCATCTCACTGCAGAACATGGAGTGGAGTCTCCTTCCTTGGAGGTTTTTAAGCAGAGTTGGGTGGCCCCCTGTGGTGGATGCTTTAGTTGGGATCCCTGCATTGCAGGGTGTTGGACTAGATGACCCTTGGGGTCCCTTCCAACTCTACAATCATATAATGCGCTTTCAAGAATCCCAAGCAGGACATTTCACACAGGGGGGTCAGGGAAGGCTAACCACTTTATTGCTTTTTATAAACTATCTGGAAGGATGGGCTATAACATAATATTAAAGATGTAACTGAAAGTTGAATGGTGGTTACAAGGAGGGTGAGAGCACCTTCTGCCAGATTTACGTGGCATGTCAAGCATGTGATGTGAGGTAAAATATTAAGGTGTGAATTAGGGAGTCCCTGCTTTGACTCCCTTTTGCCATGAACTGTGTGGGGTGGAGGTGGCCTTAGACAAGCCACTGTCTCTCTGCCTCAGTCCTCCCATCTGAAAAATGGGCATAGTAAGATTGACTTAACTTACAGGGAAGTTGCAGGGTTCTAAGTAGATAGAGTGTGTTAAGTACGTTGAACCCTTGAAAGAACTTCAAATGTTTCAAGAATCATCAATAAGAACTTGATGAACACCCCTGTCTCGAAGGCAGAGCCATGGAGAGGGTCAGCTTCCCAGTTGACATCGCTTCTCTTCTCTTTCCTCCTCTGCCCCCCCAGAAAATGTAACTTTGGATCCAGACACAGCACATCCCCTCCTCATCCTGTCTGAGGATCGAAAGAGTGTGAGACAGGGAGAAGTGCGTCAAGACCTGCCAGACAACCCTGAGAGATTTGACAGATATACCTATGTGCTAGGATGTGAGGGTTTCACGTCAGGCAGACATTTCTGGGAGGTCACTGTGGGAAGAGAGGAGAGATGGGGGGTGGGGGTGGCCAGGAAGTCTATGAAGAGGAAGGGTGATTCCACTTTTGGTCCTAAGGACGGGATCTGGGGTTTCGGGAAGTGGAAAGGAGGGTACATCCCCAATAAGGCCCCTGTTCCAAGTGAGGAGCCCAAGAGGATCCAAGTGGCCCTGAACTATGAAGGGGGACGGGTGTCCTTTTACGATGCTGATACAGCAGCCCTCCTCTACACATTCCCGGCAGCCTCCTTCTCAGGAGAGACCCTCCAGCCCTTGATTTACGTGGGGAAGAAAGAGAACCTGAGACTCTCTTGACTTGAGGGTGCAGACAGACAAGCGTCAATCATGATGCAACTCTCTCTTCTTGGGCCAGCTTTCACTGGACAACAAACCTTCCTTAGCCTCAATCCTGCTCTCAGATTCCCTTTTCCTCCCCCAAGATCTCCACTGGCCAGGGAGATGGAAGTTCCAAAATCCCTTTTTTTGCTACTCCTCAGGGAAGCTTATGTGGCAATTCAGCAAAATCTCCATATCCAAAGAGACCTGTTTGCTAGTTGAGTGCAGATTGCACCCTGGAGCCATTCCTTAAAACAAATTAATAAATAGAAAGAACACAAGAGACCGGGACGGGAAACACTGTTGGAAGGGACTGTGTGAGATCTCTCAGGAGTCTCCAGAGCCCAGAAAGCAATGAGAGGGTGGGGCTTTGGCAGTGGGGGAAAGAGTTTCTAAGTCCACCTTGCTTACTGACCTCTAGAAAGGTCAAGATCTCTGGCTTTGGACAAGTAAGGATGGTTGCTTGGGGGGCATTTTCGAGGGTCTTCCTGACTTATTCAATATTGCCCTTCCATACACGAAGAGTCGGACACGACTAAACAACAACAAAAATGCTGACCCCAGGAATGTCACCCGCCCACTTAGGTCTTGGGCCTTGATGTAGCAAAATCCCCTCTGACAATGAGGAGCCTCTGTCAGAGGTTCTGAATGACAATCTAGACTAGAGACTTTCAGGGGGGGGGGTAAATTCCCATGTATACAATTATTTACTCCAAGATGCTTTGTAGTGACCAGTCAGATACTTATCTGTATTTTTAGAAATCACCTCTTCTTATATTTTTGTATAATGGGCCTGAAAGTATTTGGGGATATGTTTCCTGTGCTAACGTGTTTGATTCTATTAAAGATTGTACGTCTTGTTGCTTCTATTTTGTCTGATACTCAATAGTATAATAACCATTCCCCATGACACTTCCTCCAGGGATTTTAGGAGGGTGATATCCTGTTTTATCCTCAGAGGAACCCTGTGAGGTAGAAGAGGCTGAGCTGAGAGACTTAGAATAAGGAAACACGTTAAAGTTTATTGTTAAATAGATTTGAACCTGGGCCTTGTCACCCCAAATCCAACACACTGTGCACTCAAAATGTGAAATATTAAGCCTAAGATTCCCTTCAGAGATGTTCTTGAAAGCCCTCCCTGCAAAGCTCCTCTCTATGTTGTAGCTTCTCTTCAGACCTTCCTGTGTTGACCATGAATGTCTGCAGGAGGAGTCAATCCAGTTTTTGAGTGAGGGGCAGATTTCAGGGGCTTTCCTCCGTAAGCTCGTATTTCGCACCTGGGTCCGTTTCTTGATCTCAGGATTCTGATTAAAAACGAAAGCAAATCCCCCAAGTCCTAGAAGGCTCAAGCTTTGGGCTCTCTGCCACCTGAGCATTTCTCAAAGCTATATTGGAATGGTTCTATAGAATAAGAAAGGGGAAAGGTGTTCTTTTGGGAAGTAAGCTGACCTCTTTTGCTACACCATGTTTAGATCCAGGATAGTCCCCCCCCACAAAAAAAGACCACACTAAAACGCTGTAGAAGATTAATCAGCCAAAGGCCTGGTGTTTTCGCCTGACCCCTAAAAATATTTTCACATTATTATTAGGAATGCCTATAAACCACTGAAGAGTGCAATAATGCCATACTGGTAAACGACAAGTAAAAACAAAAACAAAAAAGAAATAGATCATAAAATACTGCCTGTGAAGAAACTTTTCAATTTCCAGAAATAAAAGGTTTTTCAATAAAAGTTCTCTTCCACATATCCAGGAGGTATATGGGATCAGTGGGGGAAAGCTAGGAGCTGTACAGCAGATTGAAAATACGCCAGCATTCATCCTATATGACTTCAGAAGCGACCTTTTTCCATCTTTCGCACTACCATTCTTAAAGTTTTAAAAATCCACATGAAAGAGGCTCTGAAGTCCTGCTACCTTCACACCTGCAGGGGGCAGAAGAGACCACGAGTCACCGGCTTCAATTTCCTGGAAAGGAAAACACCCCCAGTTATTGAATGGGCAAAAGAGAGAGTGAAATTTAACACCCCCCCCCCCATGGCTGCGGCTGGGGGTCCCATCCATGCAGGACTTCTGCGAGGAAGACACTTGCCCCATCTGCCTGGAGTATTTCAGGGATCCAGAGATCATCCCTGATTGTGGGCACAACTTTTGCAGAGCCTGCCTGAGCCAGTTCTGGGGGGAGTTGGAAACTGGGGCATTGTGTTCTGTCAGCCTCAGACTTTCTGCTTGAAAAATGAGGACGATAAAAGTGTCTTAACATACAGGGTCCATGTACGGATTCTGTGCAGATAATGTGCTGGAAGTGCTTTGAACACTTGAAAGAACAAATGGTTTCAAGATTGATTACTGAGAACTTGTGGATCATCCCGAACGCAGGGCATTGAGCGGGAATGAAATTTCTGTCATGGGTTTAAAGAAAAGTTCATCTCTGAGCTCCTGCTGTTTCTGTCCTCTTTCCTCATCTGCCCCCCAGAAAACGCAACTTTGGATCCAGCCAACTTTGGATCCTGCCTCATCCTGTCTGAGGATCAGGAGAGTGTGAGAGATGGAGATGCGGATCCAGATCTCCCAAACAATCCTGAGAGATTCAATACACACGTCCCCATGTGCTGGGGCAAGAGGGGATCACAGCGGGCAGACATTTTTGGAAGGTCATTGTAGGGAGTTAGGGGCATTGGGGTGTAGGGGGCACAGGAAGTCTGTGAGAAGGAGGGGCAAGTTGGCTCCTTGTCCTGAGGATGGGACCTGGGAGGTGGGGAATGGGAAGGTGAATAGGGCCCTCCTTCCCACCTGATGACGACCCTGTTCTGTCTCTGCTTGAGGAGCCCAAGAGGGTCCGAGGGACCCTGAACTCTCACCTGTCCTTTCACGATGCAGATCCAGCAGCCCTTCTCCATGCATTCCCAGCTTTCACCTTCTCAGGAGAGACCCTCCTGCCCTTCTTTCTCTCCAGGGAGAAGCCCTATGTGCAGGATAGAGATGGGTCGGCCCTTGTGTCAGTCCTGGTGCAACTCTCCCTTCTCAGACCAGCTTTCTACACAGCACTGATTGGCTTGCTGTTGGGTCACTCAGGAGAGGAAGCCCTCCTCTTGTCCCTCCCCCAGGCAGCTTTCCCGAAGGAGTCACTTGTTTGGTTCATGTCCTCTCTGAATAAAGTGAGAAAGGGCTGCATTCATCTCATGGCAACAGGAGAACAGGGCCTTCTCTGCAGTGGCTCCCCATCTGTGGAATGCTCTCCCCAGCAGGGAAGTTTGCCTGGCGCCTTCATTATAGACCTTTAGGCACCAGGCAAAACCGTTCCTTTTTAACCAGGCCTTTGGTTATTCTGATTGACATCCTATACCCTTTTAAAATATTATTGCGTTGTTGTTTTTATTCTGTGAACTGCCCTGAGACCTCCAGGTATACGGCGGTATATAAATTCAATGAAGAAGAAGAAGAAGAAGAAGAAGAAGAAGAAGAAGAAGCTGTGAATGGAGCAAGGCGGGGGAGGGGGGCGACAATTCATTCATTAGCCTGCAAAGTGGTCTGAGCCTGACGTGCTGATAGTCAACAAAAAAACAACAAAACTCCACCAGCTCACACAAGGTAATGGTTCGTTAAACGAGCAGCCACGAAGGATGGCTTAATATATTTCCACCAAATCAAAGCGGCTCGGAGCTCCACCCAGCTCCAAGGCAACAGCAATCCTGGGAACGCTCCCATTTGCTGACGTAAAAGAGAGAAAACGAAACCAGCTCCCTCTCTCCCTCCCTTCCCGGTGACTCCGCCATGGCTGCCACTCGGGGTCCCGTCCGGGATCTCTGCGAGGAAGCCACTTGCCCCATCTGCCTGGAGTATTTCCAGGATCCAGTGATCATCCCGGAGTGCGGGCACAACTTCTGCCGAGCCTGCCTGATCCAGTGCTGGGAGAAATCCGAGGGAGAGGCTTCCTGCCCTCAGTGCAGGGAAACAGTGGAGCAAGGCAGCATCAGGAAAAACCAGCAGCTGGCAAATGTTGTGGAAATAGCCAAGAAATTTAGTCATCTGGGGGGGAAAGAGGAGGGAGAAGGAAAGGGGAAGATCTGCGAGAAGCACCAGGAGCCCCTGAAGCTGTTCTGCAAGGAGGACCAAAGCCCCATCTGTGTGGTGTGTGACAGATCCAAGGAGCACAAAAGCCACGAGGTGGTTCCTCTGGAGGAGGCGTCCCAGGAGTACAAGGTAGGAAAAGGCAGTGGTTCTTTCTTGGGGGTGGAATAGCTGCAGACCAGAGGGGCTTTCAAAATAAAAAATAAATATAAAATGTTGTAATATATTTTCTCCTCTTGCAGCCCAAAAGGAATTCTCCAGCAAGAGATCTTGTGCAGCCTGATAAGACTAAACTTCTGAAACTTTATACAATAAGCATTTATTTTCCTATCTGAGGGATTTAAAGTGTGCCCAGTGACCACCTCAATGCAGGCTGCAGTAACTCCCCGGGAGGAAAGATTACAACATCGAGGATTAATTTAATAAAAAGGAGGGGGGACATGTTGGAGGTGTGTTCAGTGTGGGGGACAAATAGTAAAACCCCCATGTTTCTCAGCTCTGATATAGGGCAGCCCCATTTCTGCCTCATCTGGGATGAAAAAGGGGAACCTCTGCAAAAGACCCAGCGATGTGGGGCAGGGAGCACACATACATTCAGCTTGCCTGTTAATGTGTAACGCAGCCCAATTTGGATTTTGTTTTCTTTTTAGGATCAGATCAGCAGCTGCCTAGACAATCTGAGGAAGGGGAGAGAGAAAATTCTGAAATTTAAAGCAGACACAGAAAAGGAAAGCCAAGACCTGCTTGTAAGCACCATTGTTACTGCTTTAAGGAGAAAAAATGCTACAGTCTAGAATCAATATGGGGGGGGGCGCGGAAATGAATATGGAATACAGAAAGGGGTTTCTTTTTGAACAGCCTGATCTCCTACAGAGCATGAAAGACCATTTAAAGGAGGGGGTGGGCTTGTAAGTTTTTACGAAGCTCTTTCTCTGCTGAATATGTCAGAAGTGGCCTTCCAAGGGAATTGGGATAACTGCCCTCTTCATCCTGCAAGAGCAGACTAGATGCCTGATCTTGGCCCACTGTTCTCTTCTTTCAACCTCTTTGCTGCAGAAACAAACAGGTGCAGAGAGGGAAAAGATGGTGGCTGAGTTCAGGCGACTGCACCAGTTTCTGGAAGAACAGGAGAAACGTATTCTGGCCCAGATGGCAGAAGTAGAGAAGGAGATTGCAGCCAAAAGGGAGGAGCTCCTGGCCAGACTCTCCAGGGAACTCTCCTCTCTTGACAGCCTCATCCGGGAGATGGAGGAGAAGCTTCAGGAACCAGCGAGTGAACTCCTGCAGGTGAGGCCTCATCCTGATGTGAGAGGGTGGAGTGTGCTGCTTAGTCACATTAAAATGCTACCGGAAAGAAAACAGTACATGAAAAATGAAAGGCATCAGTCCTGGGGTCGCAAAAGGGGCCTTGCTAGATCAAACCACAGGCTCCTTCATTCTAGCATTGTGTTCTCTCATTGGCCAACCAGAGGTCTCTGAGAAGCCTAAAAAACAGTAGTGCTCTCCAAACCTGTGATTCCCAGCAGTTGCCACTCAGCTGCTTAGTATTTATAACTGACTGCAGAAATGGCTCCACTGACATCTTTCTTTCTTTCTTTCTTTCCTTCCAGGATATTGGCAGGTCCTTGCAGAGGTAAGTGATGGGAAACCCCTGCCTTATTCTGATGCCACAAAAGTTCCTGTTTAACGAGTGAGAAACTCACTCTCCAGTTTCTCCTTCTAGAGATAGCTTAGGACTCCATCGTCTATTTCACAAAATCACAGACAAAAATAGGGACACATTTTTGTGGTAGCTATTGGTCCCATCTACTGTAAAATTACAGACAGAAAGCTGTTCCTATTGCATATTTCTGAAGGCCCTTCTCTGTGATGGAATCATTTACTCTGCAATTGATACAAAACAAGTGGACATTCCAAAGGGGCTTGTAAATATCTTCACTATAATTTACCCGTAAATATTTGATATATTTCAGGTTTTTGTAGGTTCTTCCTCAGCCATAAGAATGTGAGAAAGGGCCCAGCTGGATCCGGCCAGTCACTCATCAAGTCCAACATCCTCTTTTCACAGTGACTAACCAGATGCCAGTGCGAAACCCGCGAGTAGGATCCGGGCCCCAGAGGACACTCCCCTCTTGTGGTTTCAGCAACTGTAGTTCAGAGGCACCACTGCCTTTGACCCAGCCATGATGAAGAGTAGCCTCTGAGAGCCTTGTCCTCCAGACAACTTCAAAAACTCAAGAATTTTGAAAATCTGCCATGTTTAGAAAATATTGCTTTAATTTCTAATATTTTCTCCATTTTTAAAATATAACCACTGTGCTAAAATACATTTATAATGTTAATTGCAAAAGCCATTCTAAAGCATTCTGAACTTCTTTATATTTCAGAAATGCACATACCAAATCTATTATCTTCTACTCATTTATGCTTCATTAAAACTAGTGTAGTCCTAACTTACACTTAAATATCCAGTGTATTCAGGCTCTTGCAGATTCTTCCTCAAACATAAGAAGGTGAGAAAGAGCTCTGCTGGATCCGGCCAGTGGCCCATCTAGTTTTCACAGTGAATAACCAGATACCAGTAGGAAACCCGTGAGCAGGATCCGGGCCCCAGAGGACACTTCCCTCCTGTGGTTTCAGCAACTGCAGTTCAGAGACACCATTGCCTTTGATCCAGCCATCATGAATAGTAGCCACTGAGAGCCTTGTCCTCCAGACAACTTCAAACACTAATGAATTTTGAAAAACTTCAATGTTTAGAAAATACTGCTTTAATTTCTAATATTTTCTCCATTTTTAATATATAACCACTGTGCTAAAGTACATTTTTAATGTTAATTGCAAAAGTCATTCTAAAGCATTCTGAACTTTCTTATATTTCAGAAATGCACATATAGTGGTACCTTGGTTGTCAATCCGTTCCAGAAGACCATTCAACTTCCAATACCTTCGACAACCAAGGCACACTCTCCCATTGGGGCAAACGCTCCAGAAACAACAGTCAACAGCCACGTCAGACATTCAACTTCCAAGGCGCGTTCAAAGACGGAGAACGAGTTTTCAGCGTTCGGGAGCTGAAACGTTCGACTACAGAGGCGTTCAACAGCCGAGGTTTGACTGTACCAGATCTATTTAGTTTTGCTCATTAATCACTTGAAATGTTTCACTAAAACTGGTTTAGTCCTAAAATCTTTGTGTAAGGACCCAGCTTCTTTACCTTCAATCTCCTGTTCCTATATTTCCTTCAGTATATTTTGGAAGCAGGTGTGTGTCGGTTTTCCTTCAACTTGTTAGGTGCTCTCTAGATCCACAGATTCCTTTTGCCATAATAATAATAATAATAATTTATTTATACCCCACCCATCTGGCTGGGTTTCCACAGCCACTCTGGGCGGCTTTCAACAGAATATTAAAATACAATAATCTATTAAACATTAAAAGCTTCCTGAAACAGGGCTGCCTTCAGATGTCTTCTAAAAGTTTGGTAGTTGTTTTTCTCTTTGACATCTGGTAGGAGGGCATTCCACAGGGCGGGTGCCACGACCAAGAAGGCCCTCTGCCTGGTTCCCTGTAACTTGGCATCTCACAGTGAGGGAACCGCCAGAAGGCCCTCGGCGCTGGATCTCAGTGTCTGGGCTGGATGATGGGGGTGGAGACGCTTCTTCAGGTATACTGGACCGAGGCCGTTTAGGGCTTTAAAGGTCAGCACCAACACTTTGAATTGTGCTTGGAAACGTACTGGGAGCCAATGCATAGGAAAAACCCTGCTCCCAAGTCTTCATGGTGCCTTTATCATCAGGATGAGACACCTGCCTTGTCAGAAAGCTCCTTGCAATGGAAGGATGGTGGCTTCACTTTGTTCTTCTCATCCAAGGTCTCAGGAGAAGGAGAACTTAGAGGATCCTCCTGTGGCTTTTCCTCCTGCCCTGAAGTGGAAGATTTGGGAGTTCTGTGATATAAATCCCTTCCTGGAGGAGTCATGAAGAAATTCAGAGGTAGTAAAGATGGGCTGAAAGTACTTTGTACTGGACGTTTAGAAGTGTTCATGACAGGCTCCAGGTCATACGGAATATTAGCCATGCCTGGAAAATAGAAGGCTTATTTATTCTCTTTCAATATCTAGAAACCACACTTTGCTATGTAGATGACTCACAACAGATTTTTCTTATGCAATTGAAAGAGGAGGATTAAACTTTCTTGCTGGGCTCCTGAAGCTCTTGCGAGATCTTGGGGGAGCCTCCCAGATTCCAGTCAGCAAGGTAAAGGGCTTGAAAGCTCTTGCCATGAAGGGTTTGGCCACCATGCAAATCACTTTTAAGACCTTACTTGGTTCTGAGAGGCTCCTGCGAGATCTCAAGGGACCGTTTTGAGATCTCTGATGGCAGGGGTGATTCCGGGGGTCATTCTGACTTTGCACAATCTGCCTTTATGCACAATCTCCAGGAATGTAACCCTCCCTTAAGTTGTGGGTTGCCTGAAAAAAGTTGTTCTTGACCTCTTCCCATCTCTCAGCCAGGCTTTGGGTGCTTTCACACATCTCACTTTTGGGGCATTTCTCCTGTTCCTTTGGCCCTGAGATTGATGTAAGGGGTGCAGGAGGGAGGGGGGCTGTCCAGGAGCCAGCCAGGAGCAGAGGGGACTGGGGTTGAGACCTCCTGTCCTGGAACAGGCATGTCTGGACCTTGTTGACGGGGAGATCTTCTGGGAGTCTTGCTCCTCCTTCCAAGATTTGGGCAGGACTGAACCTTGATCTCACCCCTGCCCTGTTTATGCAGGGATAGCCAGTATGGCAAGTTTCAGGTAGTTTTAACTGCAACTCCCATAATCTCCAGCTGGCATGGCCAGTGGGTAGGGATGATGGGAATTCGAGTCCACAACACCTGGCTACTATCTCATGAGCTCATATTGTTGTTGCCAGGTTTGTGATCTGAATGATGGTGTGATGCTAAATATCTGTTCCCTTTTCTCTCCCAGACACTGTGGAATATGGACTTCAGCTGCGAAAAGGTACATTTCCGGGTCAAGCAGAGACACTAATTCGGGAGAGAGGGGATCCACTTATCAAAAGACCAGGCCACCGCAGCTCTTCCTTCCATGCCTTATTTCCCCTTATTTCCCAGAGGCATCTGTTCCGTGAGAGCAGCATGCTGGGCTAGATGGGCTCTTGGACTGATCCTGCAGACTCTTAGGAAGCCCCCAACCCAGGATGCCTGGCTTTTCTGTGCCGAATCTCAATAAGACACAGGGTTACATATGCTTCAGGTTACATACGCTTCAGGTTACATACTCCGCTAACCCAGAAATAGTGTTTCAGGTTAAGAACTTTGCTTCAGGATGAGAACAGAAATCTTGCTCCGGCAGCGTGGCGGCAGCAGGAGGCCCCATTAGCTAAAGTGGTGATTCTGGTTAAGAACAGTTTCAGGTTAAGTACGGACCTACGGAACGAATTAAGTACTTAACCCGAGGTACCATTGTACTTAACCTGAGGTACCACTGTACTTAACCTGAGGTACCACTGTATTTACAGCAGCAAACATACAAGTCTATCTGCGTTACGACTTCTTCACTCTCAGCAACTCCTCAGCACTAACCACACCACACTAACACTCACTCAGACCAGTGTTATAGGTCATGCCTATATAAGGGACCTCAGCCAATCACTGGGTTGTTGCTGGGTCTCCTTACTGCTAGGCAGATTCCTTTCACGCTCTGTCTTCCCACGCTGTGGAGATTGTAATTGCTAACTTGCAAAGCTGCATGCAAACCACGGATTCCAACACTTCCAACTCTACGATTCTGTGATGTGATGTCAAGAATCCCAAGAAGGACATGTCACACAGGGGGGTCAGGGAAGGCTAACCACTTTCTAGCTTTTTATAAACTACCTGGAAGGATGGGCTATAACATTACATTAAATATGTAACTGAAATTAGAATGGTGGTTACAAAGAGGGTGAAAACACCTACCAGATTTACCTGGCATGTCAAGCATGGTCTGTCATGTGATGTGAGGTAGAATATTAAGATGCGAATTAGGGAGTCCTTGCTATGACGCCCTTCTACCATGAACTCTATGGGGTGGGGGGTGGTCTTCAACAAGCCAATGTCTTTCAGCCTCAGTCCTCCCATCTGAAAAATGGGCATAGTAAGATTGACTTAACTTACAGGGAAGTTTCAAGGGTTCTATGTAGATCATTTGTGTTAAGTGCTTTGAACCCTTGAAAGAACTGAAAATGTTTCAAGAACTTGGTAAACATCCCTGTCTCGAATGCAGAGCCATGGAGTCCCTGTTCATTTTTGAGGGAATTACATTTCTGTCTAAAGAAAAGTCAGCTTCCCAGTTGACGTCATTTCTCTTCTCTTTCCTCCTCTGCCCCCACAGAAAAAGTAACTTTGGATCCAGACACAGCACATCCCCTCCTCATCCTGTCTGAGGATCGAAAGAGTGTGAGACAGAGAGAAGTGCGTCAAGACCTGCCAGACAACCCTGAGAGATTTGACAGATACGGCCATGTGCTGGGATGTGAGAGTTTCACATCAGGCCGACATTTCTGGGAGGTCATTGTGGGAAGAGAAGAGGGGTGGGGGGTGGGGGTGGCCAGAAAGTCTGTGAAGAGGAAGGGCAAGTTCTCTTTTGGTCCTAATGAAGGGATCTGGGGTTTGGGGAAGTGGGACAAATTGAACTTGTTCTGCTCCCCCCATGAGGACTTTGTTCCAAGTGAGGAGCCCAAGAGGATCCGAGTGGCCCTGAACTGTGAAGGGGGACAGGTGTGTTTTTACGATGCTGATACAGCAGACCTTCTCCGGTCATACTCAGCAGCCTCCTTCTCGGGAGAGACACTCCAGCCCTTCTTTTCAGTGAACAAGAAAGAGAACCTGAGAATCTCTTGACTGAGGCTGCAGAGAGACAAGTGCATATTCATGGCCATTATTACCTATTCAGTCTCATCTCCAGGACTGAGCTGACAGGCACTTAAGGAGAAACCATATTTCTTGTTATGACTGAAAACCCTAAAGAAAGTCTGAAAAGAGTGCTGGAATTGATTAAAGAATTTGGAGAAGTGGCAGGCTTTAAGCTGAATATAACAAAAACAAAAATGCTTGTTAAAAATGTAACCACAGAAGAAAAGGACAACTTAGAAAAAATATTGGGCCTGAAAGTCTCCTCAAAAGCGAAATACTTGGGTATTTGGATCACCCCCAAGAACATAAACTTATTTCAGGATAATTACACCAAAACTTGGTTAGAGATTAGAAAATTTTTTGTAACCTGGAGTAAACTAAAATTAACATTTCTGGGTAGGCTTTCCATTATAAAGATGAATGTGCTTCCAAAATTAATTTTTTATTTCGAATGATTCCAATACTGGGTGAAGCAGGTTGTCTCAAGATATGGCAAAGAGAAATTTCCAAATTCCTGTGGGAAGGGAAGAAACCTAGGATTAAACACCTGATCTTAATAGACATAAAAGATAGAGGAGGCTTTTCCCTACCCGACCTAAAACTTTACTACGAGGCAGCCTGTTTCACCTGGCTAAAAGATTTTGACAACTGGAAGGTTTTGACAACCGTTGGGGATGGCACGCCTACCTAATATATGGAAAAGCGAAAATTCTTAAAAATTTTACCAACCATATAATAAGAAAGTCACTCTTTGCTGTATGGGAAAAATATAACGATCTGATGGAGCCTAAAGTCCCGTGGTGGACTTCTCCAGTAGAAGCCATAGCAGTAAAACGGAAAAGTAGTCAGGAAAGCTGGCCAACATATAAAATACTTCTAAAAAATGAAGATAACCAAATAAAATTTAAAAACTTTGAGGAAATAAGAGAACACATTTCAGACTGGTTCCAATACCATCAGTTATTTGAAAAATTTAAATCTGACAAACAAAAGGGGTTCTTAACAGAAACTTCCCGGTTCGAATCTGATCTTGTAAATTCTAAAAGAAAAACGCTTTCCAAAACTTACCGACTCCTCCTTGACTGGAATGTCAAGGAGGACGAGGTAACAGTGGCAATGGTGAGGTGGTCCCAGGATTTTGGCTATTCAATAACCATGGCCCAATGGGAAAATTTATGGAAGATCAATTGGAAATTCATAAATTGTTACACGATTAGAGAGAACTTTCAAAAAATGCAACATCGATGGTATCTAACACCATGGAAACTTTCAAAAATGTATAAAAATGTGTCAAGTAATTGTTGGAGAAACGGAGACTCAGGAACATTCTACCATATGTGGTGGATATGTAGGAAAATACAGGTATTCTGGGAGAGTATACATGCAGAACTGCAAAAAAAATGCTAAAGATCTCTTTCAATAAAAACCAGAGGCCAACCTCCTGGGAATAACAGATTTGGATATTCCACAAAAGAGGAAGGGTATCTTTTTATATGCGACAATGGCAGCAAGAGTTTTGATCGCAGCAAAATGGAAGAGTAATGAAATCCCCTCTATACAAGATTGGATCCAAAAGCTGACAGAATATGCCGAATTAGATGGTTTATCAGAAAGAATAAAGAATAAATCAAAACAGGAATTTGTTTCAAAATGGGAGGTTTTCAAAGAATATTTGAAAAATAAATATAGTAGTTTAAATTCTGTTGCAGCATTCGAGGAACTTCAGTAATAGTTGCAAGGTAGATATAAGAAATTAGAGTTATGGAAAATAAGTTTAATTATGAAAAAAATGTGTATTGGCAATAAGTAATATGAATTTGAAATATGGAATAGACGGGAGGTTGGGTCTTTAGTGTTAAGACCAATAGATGTTTTATTGTTTGCTAAGAAAATTATGTGTCTATGGTTATTTTTGTAATTTGTGTGTAATTTGGTATTTGGTTTTTTTTCTGGTGTTTTTTTCTTGCTGTATAAATAAAAAACTTTATTAAAAAAAGAAAGAAAGAAATAGATCATAAAATACTGCCCGTGAAGAAACTTTTCAATTTTCAGAAGGAATGACAATAAAAGTTTTTTCAATAAAAGTTCTCTTCCACATGGGCAGGTGGTAGATGGGATCAGTGGGGGAAAGCTAGGAGCTGTACAGCAGATTAAAAATCCACTAGCATCCATCCTATGTTATATGACTTCAGAAGCGACCTTTTCCCACCTTTTGCACTACCATTCTTAAAATTTTAAAAATACTGTACATATGAAAGAGGCTCTGAAGTCCTGCTACCTTCACACCTGCAGGGGGCAGCAGAGACCACGCGTCACCGGCTTCAATTTCCTGGAAAGGAAAACACCCCAAGTTCTTGAATGGGCAAAAGAGAGTGAAACTTAACCCCCAACACACACTGCCCCATGGCTGCAACTGGGGGTCCCATCCATGCAGGACGTCTGCGAGGAAGCTACTTGCTCTGGATTCAAGGGATCCAGAGATCATCCCTGATTGTGGGCACAACTTTTGCAGAGCCTGCCTGAGCCAGTTCTGGGGGGAGTTGGAAACTGGGGCATCGTGTTCTGTCAGCCTCAGACTTTCCGCTTGAAAAATGAAGAAGAAAAAAGTGACTTAGCATACAGGGTCCGTGTGATGATTCTGTGCAGATAATGTGCTTGAAGTGCTTTGAACACCTGAAAGAACAGGTGGTTTCAAGAATTATTACTGAGAACTTGTGGAGCATCCCGAACGCAGGGCATTGAGCGGGAATGAAATTTCTGTCATGGGTCTAAAGAAAAGTTCATCTCTGAGCTCCTGCTGTTTCTGTCCTCTTTCCTCATCTGCCCCCCAGAAAACGCAACTTTGAATCCTGCCTTCATTAGACACCTTTAGGCACCAGGCAAAAACGTTCCTTTTTAATCAAGCCTTTGGTTAATCTGCTTGACATCCTATACCCTTTTAAAATATTATTGCGTTGTTGTTTTTATTCTTTTATACATGTTGTGATTTTTCCTGTGAACTGCCCTGAGACCTCCAGGTATACAGCGGTATAAAAATTCGAAGAAGAAGAAGAAGAAGCTGTGAATGGAGCAAGGCAGGGGAGGGGGGCGACAATTCATTCATTAGCCTGCAAAGTGGTCTGAGCCTGACGTGCTGATAGTCAACAAAACTACAACAAACTCCACCAGCTCCCACAGGGAAATGGTTATTTAAACGAGCAGCCACCAAGGATGGCTTAATATATTTCCACCATAGCAAAGCGGCTCGGAGCTCCACCCATCTCCAAGGCAACAGAGATCCTGAGTAATCACACCTGAATTTCCTGGAAAGGAAACACGCCCATTTGCTGACGGAAAAGAGAGAAAACGAAACCAGCTCCCTCTTCCCGGTGACTCCGCCATGGCTGCCAGTCGGGGTCCCGTCCGGGATCTCTGCGAGGAAGCCACTTGCCCCATCTGCCTGGAGTATTTCAGGGATCCAGTGATCATTCATGAGTGCGGGCACAACTTCTGCCGATCCTGCCTGGTCCAGTGCTGGGAGAAATCCGAGGGAGAGGCTTCCTGCCCTCGGTGCAGGGAAACGGTGGAGCAAAGTAGCATCAGGCGAAACCAGCAGCTGGCAAATGTTGTGGAAATAGCCCAGAAATTCAGCCATCTGGAGGGGAAAGAGGAGGGAGAGGGAAAGGGGAAGATCTGTGAGAAGCACCAGGAGCCCCTGAAGCTCTTCTGCCAGGAGGACCAAAGCCCCGTCTGTGTGGTGTGTAATGTATCCAAGGAGCACAAAAGCCACGATGTGGTTCCTCTAGAGGAGGCGTCCCAGGAGTACAAGGTGGGTATAGGCAGTGGGTCTTTCTTGGGGGTGGAAGAGCTGCAGACAAGAGGGGCTTGCAAAATAAAAAATAAATATAAAATGTTGTAATGTATTCTTTCCTCTTGCCAATCAAAAGGAATCCTCCAGCAAGAGATCTTGTGCCGCCTGATAAGACTAAACGCCTGAAACTTTATACAGTAAACATTTATTTTCCCATTTGAGGGATTTAAAGTGCCCCCAGTGACCCCTGAATGCAGGCTGCAGTAACTCCCCTGGGAGGAAAGATTACAACATCTAGGATTAATTTAATAAAAAGGAGGGGGAGATGTTGGAGGTGTGTTCAGTGTGGGGGACAAATAGCAAACCCCCCATGTTTCTCAGCTCTGATATAGGGCAGCCCCATTTTAAAGGGAAGTTCTCTTTCTGCAGTTCTCTTACTGCACATAACTGTGAAGTCTTACTATGAGAACTATTGCTTCTTTTCTCTTGCATGCTGGGAAGTTTTTGCCTCTGCACATGAGTCTGAGAATGTTCTGAACAGTTCCCATTGAGTTCATGAAACAGTGTATCCTGACCTGTTCTTAATGCATTGCTGACCACATCTACGGAACGTGATTGTTGTATTCCTTCATGTTATGTTCTCTCAATATTAATCTTTAGTTATAATTTAATTAGGAGGTTTCATGCCTGTCTAGTTCCAGCTCCATTTCTCAGCCTTTGATCTATCAGTGATAAATAGTTATATGTAATTCCCGCCTTGTACCTATGTTAACCAATCAGCAACAAGATGCTTTGTGTTTGTATCAACCAATCAGCCACAAGCACACCTGTGGCAATGTTTGTAATATTCAATAAAAGAGAGTTCCCGGGGCTCGCCCCGGCAGACGCCTCTCATATGACACCTGCCACTCGTCTGTCGTGATTTTCAACCCAACATTATTTCT